TTGGCGACGTGAGCGCGGAAAGTTTACCCCCCCCAACACCACAACACACTGTGTCGGCTCCGAGCTTCAACAGCTCCCCACAAGCCCGCGCCTCACCACCACTTGGCTGCGTGCGCGCTCTTGCTTTTTCGTTTCTTTCATTCCTTTGAATTGCATATCCACTGCTTGTATGAGTCTTTGGCGTTAGGTCTTTAGCGTGTGCACCCGGCAAGACGAAAGAGGACCCTTGGTTCGCCATGGCGGACAACAAGCGCAACAGCGTTGCGGGCAAGGTTGCGACACCGAACCTCAAGGCTGGCACCACATCCAACAAGGACGTCATTGACGCTGATTCCAATCTGTACAAGGCCGTGGGATCGCGGTAAGCCCAGCTTGCCCCCTATGAGCGTCGGACCAGAGAGATCGCGCTGTTCGGGAGTATGCTGACAAGCAACAGCATCAAGATTACATGCGCTCCCGGCAAGAATGTCCTCGAGGGCACTCTCTTTACGGCCTGCAACATTACCCACGCCATAGCCATCAACACCGCGCCTGCCCCACCGAATCCCTCCGCCTCTGCCCTCAGCCAGCCAGGCGATTACCATATTATCCCTTTCGCACACATTGAATCTTTTGAGATTCTCGGATCAGGCGAGCGGGCGCCTGAGTCTACACCGGGCTTCAACGGAGCACTCCCTAGCATATCCAAGGTTGACCTAGCGGCACTGCAAGCCCGTGAAGATCAGACGATTCGCGAAATGAAGAAGAAGGATGCGCAGAAGGGCAAGGGCGTTAGTGCGGAAGCGCAGGAGCTATTCGATGCCATCTCGAGGACGTGAGTAATATCCGGTGAATACCTATAGGTACAGGGGCTCAGACTGACATGCAAACGAACAGACTACCGACCCGCTGGGCAGACACTCAGATTGTAGTTAGTGACTCAGTTTTGATCCAATCGCCATACACCCTCGACAGCATCCGAGCACCTGCCGACAAGGCGCAGGCTGAGAAGCACGTGCGCAAGATTGTCGAGCACTACTACCAGCGCAAGAAGGGAGCACAAGCAGGAGTAGCACGCGCTCCGGTTGCTGTGCCCAATGCCCCACGAAAGGGTGGTTAGACATACTGTAGCTTGTATAGATTTGGCTTGCTGCACTATTTTGAGGTAGAGATTAGGTCAAAGGATAGGCAGAATCTTTTCGACATGCAAATCACCGCACAGAACGGTTAGCAGCTAGACAGACGTGGCTGAGTTACCAAACCAGCCGCAGAGCCTAAGAGGTCTTACGCAGTAAGGAGAAAGAAAGAAGGGAAGAAATCAGAGAGGGGCGTGGAATGCCGAGAGTATGCCGCATGTGATTGCAATGGAGCCAAGGCTACATTGTTCTCTAATACGTGAAAGTGGGAGTACCCATCTTTTAAATAAACTACAAACAAAATGTTCAAATTTTCGAAACTATTTGTGCTATTGGTAACGTGATACGAGGACAGAGTGCTGAGGACTAGTGCTGTCAGGAGAACAGTACTGGGATGTCTTACTTGTAGGTATAATATGTGACTGCCTGAGTTGAACTTGGGATGCATTACCGTGCTATTGCGCATTCTACTACCGCAGTCTCCCAGACTACCTTCATGTCACCCCCTTTTGCTCATCTACGATTAGTAAACTTACACAAACAGCATAACAGGTTTTATAAAGAGAAAAAACCTCAAGGTACCAGTGGACAAATCATTCATACATCCATCCATAAATCCTTCTTTTCTTACGTAGTACTTGAATCCATTTCCCTACTATCGCACTACCTCAAACACACGCACCCAAACTCCCCCTTTTATTCACTCCCTCATCTCGCTCCAACTCCGGCCCAAGAAAATACGCACTCGTATACTTACCTAATCAACCTAATTCTATTATACACAGCCGAGCTTTTCTCCTCTTCGCATATCTTTCCCTTTCTGCCCCCCCAAAAGCTCTTTTACCTAATTAGTCAGATCGACCCACCTTAACGTACTTTGGTAGTTAAAGTTTAAGATTCGGACTTGGCTCAAGGAAATAGGGTTAGTGCGTAAGTGATACGGGGTAGGGCCGTTTCTTTTTTCTATCTTTCGGAGATTTCTTTTCATGGGTTGAATGTTAGTAATTGGATGGAAAATAGAAGGAAAGGGGGGTTATATAGTTGAGATGGGGTTCGTTTATTCTGCTATTTCGATTTTTGACTTTGTTAGCTAAGTCACTGTCTTCTTTTTTTTTTTGTTTACCAAGAGAAAGTTGATTGTTCGGTTGTTTTTTTGACGAGGCTTTTGGAAAACTGCACACGATGAAGTTCTCGACTATTATTTCGGCATTCTGCCTCACGTCGCTTGCGTCGGCGTGTTCGTATGAGAATTCTTGTCAGAGATTCGGTGCTGTAAGTCCTACCTTTCCTCTCCTTTCCAAACATAAGTCCAGGGCTGACGGAAAGTGACTTAAAGGTTGATGCGAGATCTGCCTGTGTACCAGGCACTGCGGATTCCTGCGCGTGGCTGATTGGGCAGGGATACGGGGATCCTTGTGCGAAGAAGGGGTTGAACTGTAGACGTGGTAACTGCGTAAGTTTATTGACTATCCTTTCTTTGTGTTTGGTGTGAGAGTATATGGCTGACAGGGGTTGTGTTCTTTCTAGACCGATTGCAAGGTTGTTGAAGATGGGACGACGAGGTGCCGTGCGTGTCGAGTGAGATGCTGTTGAGGTGCGAGTTTGTACTAAAGTAAGTGTCGTGTATTGATGGAGTGACGTTTGTGGTAGGTGCTGTTGCCGTAGCTGTGGCGTGCGTACGGCTGCTATCGATCATCATTGTGCGAGTCTGTATAGTTGGAATATACTCGCGGACGATGAAACGGGGATATCTGTTAAACATTTCGGCTCACTTTTATTTTAAAGTATGCTACGACTAGTTCTTGGGTGATGCGGCCTCGAAATTGGTCGTTTAGGATCACCTCATTACTAGATGCGATCGTCCCACTGTGGATATGAGGGGCTTCTGCTTGTCTGGGACTTAGCGTTTGGTTTGCTTGCTCTATCTCACATCCATTGCATGTCTCGCCATCAGCATGATCATTATCGATTAGAATAGGCAGTCATGCTGCTTTCATGGAGACGCAAACGTTTGGCACTTGTTGTTTCCAGATCGTATTGTACCATTGCCGTTAGGAGTCGGCTGTAGCAATAGTACATCCGGAGTTCGCGCCCGTCTATTCCGTCTAAGAGCTCATATTATGATGTCAAATTGACTCAAAAATGCAATCATAGTGCTGATTCTTTGAACCTAAACGTTTCAAATCTTGATGGAAGAACCGGATCTACGGCAACCTATTGCAGTCTGTCATGTCAGAAGAAACAGACAGGGGTGCAACAGAAATCTCAACCTGGTCTGCTAAATGAGCTTTGCAAACATCGGAATAACTCCGCCTAGATCTATAAGCATTTTACAGCTCAGAGTGAAATCTCAAAAGTCCACAGCGACCAAACGGACCCAAATTTGAATTCTAAGAGCTCATAGCAGTGATGCGGACTATAAAAGGAATTCTGAGAGTTCATGACGACGACCCGGACTGAAGTATTGTATTTCCCCAGCTTATCAAGTCTTTTCTGTTCCGTCCCGCTGCTTACTGCGTGATTCAGCCAAAAGTTTGATATATTGGTGTTAAATACCTCCGGAACACCGCAAACAGAGTCAATATTAGGTTAATGAATTTCTAAAAATTAGCTGAGATTGTAGTGAAATCACGGCGGTAGAGGTTGAGAAGAGCTATCAAACAGTGTGATGGTTGATATATGTTGTTAATATAGAAGATACACTAATTCAGCGTTTGTTACTTTGACCGAGCCCCCCTGTATGTTCTTCCCGACATGATATACTCCAACATGTCTCTGGAAATGCCCAGATAAGCGAAAATCTCACGTAAGAATAAGCATATGCAAAGATGTTGAGATTTTTGTAAGCTCAAGGACTACAACAGCATATATAAATTGATGTCCTGCTTTGCGTTGCTTCACAATCAACAAGACTCATCACTTGCGTCCATCTACTACCTCTTCTTGCAAATCGATAAATCAACCGCATCATGAAGTCATCAATCCTTCTCAGTACCTTGGCCTTCAGTGGCTTTACCCTTGTACAGCCCCCCGTCTTTCGTTTCACAGGACTGTATGAAGCTAGGTTTACAATCTACTTTAGGCAGAACGCGTATGTTCCGGCGAAGTTGCAGACCACAATATCCTGACAAGATGCTGCAGTCATTTCGGAGGAATTTGGAAATCCTATGGGTGTCACCTCCAGCGAGACCCTAGCATGGGCCTAATGATAGTTGGGAGACATGCCTTTCAAAAGATAAACATTTTGTTTCCTCTTCGTGTATTCTCATTTGAATAGTTTTGATAAAAAGATCATGAGCTAAAAGGCCAACTTGCAGATTAATTTGTGTGTAATAGAATTGTTACAGCTCTAGCTGCACATTGCAATTAGTCCCCATGGGGGTTTCTTGCACAAAAAGTGCGATCTACTTAGCTCTAAGAATCTCCATATTCGGATAACACATAGTCTCGTGATGAGCAACTGAATCTGCACCAGCCCAACCAGCTAAAAGAAAAATAACCAACCCAACCAACTCAAAAACTGACCCTCCGCAGAAGTTATCAAAGGTATTAGCCCGCATATAAAAGGGTTTCAAAGCAAAAGAAAAAAAGTTCTTGTAAATTGAGCAAGAAAAAAAAGTGCCAAAAACCAGCCAGAAAACGGGCAAAAATATGAGCCAAAAACGAGCCAAGATATCATCTCTCCGCATGATCCGCCGGGGACAAACAGCGCGCGCATAGCTCTGCTTTACATCATACATCAAATAAATAGTCCTATTAGTCCAACTAACAATTATAAAGAGGGGTGCAGCTTAAGGAGCAGAGTGGTACAGAGCACAAGTTACCACCCTTTCAGCGCCGCCAGCTAGACTATTAGAGTTACTGATTTTATATGTGATATTAATGCTAGGAGTCGTCGCTATCGCTGTCATACGACTCTTCGTAAGGAGCATCTGCGTTGAGCAGTATCTCGACTACTTGATCATCGCCTCTTGATAAAGCTAGCTCTAGAGCGTCGCTGTATGATTGACCTAGGTAATCGAAGTAGCTATTGAAGCTGGCGCCCGCGTTGAGAAGCATCTCGACGACCTGTTCGTGGCCTTCCTCTGAAGCTGCATATAGCGCGTTGCCATAGAACCCACCCTGGGCGTTAACGTCAGCGCCCTTGTCGAGCAGCATCTTGACAACTTCATTGTGTCCGAACAACGACACAATAGTTAGATGGGATGCATCCTTGAAGTGTCGGGAAGCATATCGGTGTTGTTGTATTCTAGTCCATTTTAAGAAACACATAGACTTCGGATTCGATACTTTGCATCCAAGTTGCAACAGAGCAGCATCTTTCCCACTGCTTAAGTTGGCTTCCTGGAAATGCATAGTCCAAAACTCACTAGAGTATTCAAAGAAGCTGTGTGCGCTATGATGTTGCCTATTTTGCACTAGAGTATCTCTCTCGGATCTTGTTTGCGAGTCGTAGAAGCCGATGTAATGTAGACACTGTTCCGCGAGAATCTTGTGCGCGTGATGTATTGCAATTGATTGTTCCCATTGTGCGCTTTGAGTCACGCTGGCAGATGGTGACACATCCGCGATGAGAAATTCGCGAGCGGTCTGATGAAGAAAATATACCTTTCCTTGATAGACTGAGACGAACAGCCCACACCAAGATCTCAGACGACATTTGAAATCTTCTTCGCTTTCAAGATCCAGCTCTTGCCATGATTGTGTAGTCCCTTGTATCTCTGTGGCGATATTCAGCTCTAAAACCGTGAATGCTCGCGCTGCGGCCAACAGGGTGGTCAAAACCTTGCGGACTATTGGCTGATCTTTAGACTTGCTCAAAATCTTCTCATACGCCTGGCTGACAGTTCTTGGTAGCGATTTGATAGCTGAGCAAACTCCCTTCTTAGTCTTCTTAAATCCTTCAGACTTCAAATAGTTAAATACTAGATACACCCAAAGGTAGGTGCGGTGTTCGATCTCAAGCAATGAATCTCGTAGAGCAGTTTCGATTTCCTTTGAAAGTAGTTCGTCCTTTGCTAACTGTCTGACCCGGTGGTCGATAACAAGGTTGACTTCATGACTGATGGTTTCCGATTCCTCTTCCCCAGGTATATGAATATGTGGGAATAACTCCATCAAGCCTTGAAATTTCCCTACAATCTGTTGGTATGGCCGGCTCGTCATGAGATATCTTAGTGTTCCATTACTGTTGCGAGACCGGTTCTCGATGTTGCGCATCAGATCCTCGAATTCTGGCTCGGCACACTCATCCAAGGCATCTAGAACTATGATGATGGGTCCTGTTTCACTATCTTGCACTGCGTTTTCCAAGATTGACCAGAGCGACTTTGATGAGTCAACTAGCCCCTTACCATCCTGTTCGTAGTGTTTCATAGCGTGTCGAAGTAAACTTGGTTTCTGGCAGAAGAGTTGGTGTAGCAGAGCGCAGAGCGCTTGGCGGGCAGTATTCTGGTCCCGATCTTTGAAGAAGAAGTAGCAGACAGTCGCCGAATCTCGTAAGACATAGTCTACTAGATACTTGGCTAAGACTGACTTACCACACCCAGGGTCTGCGGAGACTAACAGCGGCCCCGAGACTTGTTTGAGCCATTCCCGGAAGTGGATGTGTTCAAGAAACCAATTGCATGTGCCTTCTACCCGGTCTTCTATGCGATCCTTATACCACTCGTAGGTGGCATCCTGAGTGCTCTTGGTAAGACGAAATAACTGGAGGCACTCTTTCTCGCGTACTGTGTGTTGCATCTCTAAATGCTCCCGCGCAATGTCTAAATGCTCTTCTGCAATAACCTGGTGCTTTGCTGCAGTGTCTTGGAGGTCTAACATGTTTGTAAGTATTGGTATTGCTTTGCACGACAACTACGAAAACCCGTTAGACTGACTAGAGAGAACGTCGACAATCTTCCTTTGTGCCTGCACCTGGTCTGACGGAATCATTGATAGCACTTCCTTTGCGTAAGCTGCTGCCGTCCCTGCTGCATACATCTGCCATTGCTTATTCTTGTGTGAGTCAGCGTAATCGCAGATACCCCGAATCACTAGACAAGGGAAGCTGTTCATGAGGCCTGCAGCCTCCATCTCGAAACAAAGCACCCCACCAAGCTCTGCGCTAAGTCTGTCTCTCTCGACAGCCGTCTTTATAACCTGGTTACCAGATGCGATTGTTCCATAATGTACTACCACTTCCCGCCGGCTTGGTTCTCGAGCTAACAAACGATCTTGGTTACATTCTCTACATGTAGCCCCTCCCTCGTGGTTGTACTCCGCTTCGAAAAGAACGTCTACACCAGCAGCTTCGCGCCCAAATGCAGGCAGGGTGACAAGTTTAGAATGGTATTCCAGCCACTTGCCTCTTCCCCTCATGTGCTTCGCCCTCACTTTCGCAACAGCGTTCAGGAGTATCGTAGGCGGCGAGTTGAGCGAGCCTACTCGCTCAAACCCAGTCTGGGTAGCTTTCCCAGAGTCATACTGGACAACTCCACCATGTGTCTTATGTGGCTTGCTGACCACGACATCACCAAGTCTCACATCAGTATCCTCGGTGGGAACGCCGCCTCCTACGCCGACCATTAGACCAAAGCGGGTTGAGGTGAAAGTCGACTTCATCTGCACGGCGACTGCTGCAGCTGAGTTGGTGCCTATCTGGCCTTCGGGCAGGCAAGCGATCACGACCTTGTGGTTGCCAATTCTTCCACAGGTGTAAATATTTGTATCGCGGGCATCGTATTGAGGGGTCTCGTGCTCCTCATCGAGCAATTCTTCCGCGGCTGCCAGCTCGACTGGGAGGGCGCAGATCCACCCTACGGTGTAGTCCTCTAGACATAGCTGAGATGCCATTTCCAGGCGTTTTTTGGAAGGAAAGAGAGGTCTCAAACGCGTGCTAGCTCACGTTGACACCGTGTTTTCAGGATCGAACAAAGTGAGGGTTGCAGAAGGGGATGCGGACATGGTGAAGCAGGCTGAGCAAAGGCACTCCCCACTTTTTGAAGTACGAACCTGCTCTCAACGAGGCTGAAAATCAGCCTCTATTATTGGCCGAGCTTCAAGGAAGCGGCGGATAAAGTTGGGGGCGAGAATGGAAGGAAGAATAGCTAGTTAGCTGGTAAGTTAATCTTTCCCAGTTCGAGGCGCTTCTATGCGCACGGTTGTAAATGCTCCTGGAGCACTGCTAGCAAACCTGTAAACTCGCTGATGTAGACTAATGCAAGCCAAGCTTTGCTGTCGTGTCTCGCTGGCTTGGGTCTCGCTTCGGAGTTGTCCTCACAATAGTTATATAGGCAAGCCACAACCAGGGTAGTTCTGTACGAAAATTTAACTAAGATCCAAACTTGAGAACTATTAGGTACCAGGTTGTAATGTTTTTGAGAGCACTACTCACTATGTGGAGATATCTCCCCAAGGCCTCTCCAACATGCATTTAAGAAACTAGTAACGAACTCCAACCGCAATTTTGTAACATAGCTGGAATACCGTTAGTTCAAAAGAAACATGGAATACTCGTTTCCAGATTCTTCCAACCTATCAGCACTGCTTACCGAGATTCAAGAAATGAAAGTTTTCGACAGACATGCAAGCAAAGTGCGGTCTCTATTCTAAGCAAAAAAGATACCTTCTCTAAAGTAGATTAAGATGGTGCTTCAGGATAGCCCGAATTCCACTGGAGTCAGTGTCGACCAGCAAACGCCTTTGGTTACACTAGCGCGGTATGGCCATCTAGACGTTGTCGAGATACTTCTTAATGAACCTTGCATCGACATTACTTTTGGAGACAAACTTAGCAGGTGCGCACTGTCTTTTGCCACAGGAAAAAGATACATGGAGATTGTTGATACACAGCTGGATGATAGAGTGTCCGGGCCATACAACCAGGACATCGACAAAACTACCTTTTTTGTCGCTTGTCAGCACTGTTCACTAAATAAAATATCACCCCCGAACACTCCAGTCACCTACATCACCGCAATACAGTCACATCTCGACCCGCATTCACACTCGCCGTCTCCCAATCTCCACACTACCTACTATCAAACTTCCCAGCCGTACCAGATAAACCCCTACAACCAAGTTCACCCACCCTCCCTTCCAAATCCTTATACCTCAAACCACCCAAATACTCGTCATCACCATCCCTCAAAACAACAACATCACAGCACCCCATCCTACAAAGCTATCGCGTCCCAGATCGCAAACACAAGCAGCCGAATACCCCCCCAACGTGCGTGTTCTCACACCTACGACGCTCGAGGAAACACAAGGACATTGCGCAAGAACTACTTACTCCAAAACAACAACCCAGACTCTCCCAAACAAGTTTACGCTGCCACAGCCTACACCCGTGAGTTGACGAAGCAGACGAGATCGAATAGTCTTGTTAAATAATACGAGGGTTCTCTTCTACAGAACTGGACACAGACTCTCGTTAGTACTAACCACACTTTGAACATCTGGATACTTACCTACTGCGTTCGTTCCGATAACACTACTTCTACATCCACTCGCCAATAATGCCAGACTCACACGACTCCAGTACGTCGTCCCAGTTGCACATCAGCCAGCCCGCAAAGCGATCAGCACCTTAATGTATGATACATAAGTCAAGATAGAAAAGCCAAGCTCTAGGAAGACGAAAAAGAAAAACGGTTGCATGCCACTGGGACACCTTGATAACATCCACATTCATGATATAAACTGTACGTAGAAAACGGTCTTCACACTCTCAACTCTTTTGAAACTCATCCTAACACAGTGAAAAACGTCTCATATCCGCTATATCCACGTATTCTATACACACACACACACACACACACACACACACACATATCCAGCCTACAACTCACTATGTTCAATAACCCTCTCAGCATCCTTCTCCTTCTTCTCTCTCAGCTGCTCCTGCTCTTGCACATCCACCAAGCCCTTGAGTTCCTGCTCGCCCTTCACCCTCTTCGCCAGCGCCGCAATCTCCTCATCATAGACATTCCACTCTGGAATCTGTCTTCTTGCACGGTCAAGCTTCGGTTCTTTAGTTTGAGGATTATTACATAGATCAATTGTTTTTGCTTTGTCGAGGTCCTCGTCGCTGCACCAAGTTTCACACCAGAGCCATTCTTGAGGGAGGCTGTGGATGGGGAGGTTGAATTGCATGTTGTTGGGCAGATCCTGGTCGAGGTTCGAGAGCGAGTTGGGGTCTGCGGATAGGGCGTGGTATTGTTGGCGGAGGCGGTCGCCTGCGGCGAGTTGGCGGAAGCGAACGAGGTCGACGACGTAGAGGGCAGAGATGTGGTAGGGACGGCCGCGGAGGAAGTTAGCCCAGTAGCCGGTCTTCCAGAAACGAAAGCCTTCCATTTCGGTGCGAGAGTCGCCCATGGGGGTAAAGCCGTAGGGTGCACCCTCAAGGTCATGCTGCACAAGCTCGTACATGTCTGTCCTGACGATTTGATCCGCATCCACAAAGATGACCTTTTCGAGGTCGAGAGGGAACAGGACATCGAGGAAGAGAATCTTGTAGCCCCAAATCTCGCGTTGCTTCTCCGACTGTTGGCGGAGCCAATGTGGCCATTTGTACGTGACCATCTCGTATTCAAAGCCGTACTCGGCGGCCATATGCGGCAGGAACGACTTGAAGCTTGGCGAAAGGAACTGCTCAATGAACCAGAACTTGACTGTATGCTTTGTGTGCTTCATGACGGACAGCATCATGATGTTCAGCATACGCTCATACAAGTGGCCCGAGGCGACCGAGAAGATGTTGATATCCGCTTGCGTGCCCTTCTTCACTGCCTTTCCTGACAGCAGATCGGCGCCCTTTTGTAAGACCTTCTCAGAGTCAAATTTGAGACCGATCTTACCAAGGAATTGGTTGACTTTCTGTGCGCCTTTACCAACCAGTTCGGAAGCAAGAGACTCCTCTGGAGCAAGCACGTCAGCAGTTTCCTGACCAGGCTTGCGAGACAGTCGCGGGAAGATGGTAGCTCCTTGGAAGCTCATGAGGGCAATCTCGGTAGTCTCGTCACCAGGCTGAGGGGCCCAGCTGATTGGACCAGCGCTATCGAGATTGAAGACTTGCTGGGACCGACCGTTCTTCAGCTGAATATTGTAGAATCCAGGGTTGGCTTTGAATTGGAGGTAGCCAAGGTTAGCCATGATGATGGTATCGGCAAAGTGCGGGTCTTTCTCGGTGGCTAGGACAACCTCAGCCCCGCGTGGTGGCTGTCCACCGTTGGTGGTGTCGCGAGAGTGACCTTCGATCAGAATACTTTCCAGTCCATAGACAGCGTCGACGTTAGAACCAACTGGGATAGTACTGAGCTTGATGTTGTCAAGATCATACATGGATTCTTCTGGAGCGACTAGCCATGAAGGAGGCACATCCATACCAAGATTCAGTAGTGCCTCCTTGGGAATACCGGAGAAGCGTGCGCTCAAATTACCAACAGATCCGTCCGGATTAAAATGAGGTCGGGCTTCTAGAACATATCTGTAGAAGCGCTTGATAGGAAGCTCTTGAAGGTTGCTCTTGGGATTCAAATACAATGTCAGATGAACACCCTCCATGTCGCCTAAGGTTTTCAAAATGGGAACCCATTTCTGGGCGACCTCAGTAGCCGGATCGATCGATGCCACAATATGGAACACGGCCTTGTCTTTGTCGCCTTTGACAATGGCGGTGTGTTCAGTATTCCACTTTTCGTTGTCATTTCTCCTGACTGTCGAAATCTGTTCAAAGATACCTTCCGGCACATCCGATATAGTTGACAAAGCAACCAATGATTGTATCTTGGCGATACTGAAAGGCGACTCGATTTTATTCAAAAGACCAAGATCGTCCAATGCTTTGCTCAAGGGCTCAGCGCGTTTGCTCATCTCGTAGGACACCAGTCCTTCCAGATCATCTTTGGTGAACTTGATATCTTCTGGAATAGGGCCTAGATGACGTCCATTGACAATAATGCTATTTTGGCCTGGCTTTATACCAAGAGCTTCGTATATTGGCTCAGCCGCCTTCCAGAATAGTCGTGACTCTTCTGGGAAAGAGACGGAGCTGGGCTCGCGAGCCAGCAGCTCCAGCAAGGTGTCTACTGTGAATTTGTCACCCGTTTTGGAAGAAGACTCAAGGATATCTTGTGACAAGCCCGACTTTTCGGCGTCAGCGGCAGGATTGTGTATCAAGACAATCTCAGCGTTCGGGTTGGCCTCGCGGAAAACTGCCAGGGACTGGAGAAGGCCCGAGCCATACTCAGAGTCAAAATCAGCAGTGAGGGTGATATGTACCCAGTCGCTTTTGCTCGAAGACTCAGAGGCATGAACTCGTGGCATTTTGCTGTATACATGGCTGTGAGTGTTTTCAAACTCAGCCATGTTGATGAGCGTAACGTTCTTCTCATCCTCTGGAATAATATAGGGATTGCGCCTACTAGCAGCCTGGGCAAGGAAATGCTGTGGAACCCAGCTATCTTCATTGAAGTTGCCTTCAAATATTGCCTTTTGAATTTCCCGAAGATCGAAGGTGATTCGTTTGCTGAGACTAGAGAGCCACTCCTCATTCCCAGGAATAGCAACACCGTTTATCAGAATTGGTGGTTGCGGGCCTTCCCCAGCCAAGCGACTCACGTACTGCTTGGAGTCTGCAATGCGTTGGTCCAAATCCTCTGAAGTGAGGACATCTTGAAATGAAAGGGCTGTACGCTCATCGAGCAAGGTTGAGGTTTTAACCGTCGCATCAAATATGGCCTGATCAGGCTGTGCAAGCTTCTTGCCGTCCATGGACTGCGTCGTATGTTAGTGTTAGGCATTTATGGAAGGGAGGTGACCCATACTGCTTGCAGATATACTTCCACCGCGGAGACTCCATAAGCATCCAGCAGATGATAGACTATCTTGGCCTGCTCGATAGCTTCAGAAGAGCCAGACTGAGGGACGATACCCCAACGCAACGGAATGCCACGTCTGATCAGATTGAAGATGGTGTCAAGGAGAGTCGTCACGTCCTGGATGGATGTTAAGTCAACGAACACAATGGCATTATGAATGTCTCTGCGGCAGGATGGAAGCTGCCCAGGGAATGTCCTTTGCAGTAGCTAAAAGAATTGGTCAATTCAAGAGCATAGACAACATCAGGTGGCACTTACAGCTTGGAGGCTGCTGGGCCAGTCCTCATACGCCGGGTCCTTCTCAATGTCATTGAGCCAAATGATGACGTTGCCACCTTCGGCCGTATCCCTAAAGTCATAGCGCTGTGGGGAGTCACCCGCGTTGGTTTGTGCGATGGCTGCATGCGACAAGAGGGATACGACTTCAGAAACCGAGAGACCCTGGCTGCGAAAACCGTTGATGAGTTTCCGCTCGCGGCGCAGGTGCGCCAACAACGAATATGGGTTGACGTCACGAGTGGGAATGGTTAGGCCGTTGACTACGATGAGATTGATGCCGCCCATCAACCATTGATCGTGATTCTTTTCAAGGCCTTGAAGAAATTCATCAGAAGCGTTGTGGGCAGCGATAATGGACGAGTATTTGGGAAAGTCCTGAACGAGCTTCAGAAGGGTATTCATGGAATCCTCGCTCTGGAGCACAAAGCTAGCAGCCTTGAGTCCGAGATCGGATACTTCGTCTTTGGAAAGAGGCTTAAGATCGGCAACATCTTCTTCGTCGTTCAAACCTGTGTCCATTGTTTTCTGTGCAGCGTTCTTGTCGCTCTCGGCCGCCTGCCTGTCGTCAATGACAATGTAGTCAGTCCGCTTCAACTGAAGGGCAACACCATATCCATTGACTACTAGTGGTGATGTGGGCGCCTTGGGGGATGGCTTGTGCCTGATACGGTATGATGTCTTTCCTTGCTTGGCGGTGGTGCTCAGTGTCTTGTGCCATTTTTTGAATCTTGGAGCAGTGATGTCGGCATAGAGAATGGCGGGTAAAGCTGAGCTGTTGCCAAGTATGCGGTCAAAGGGTAGTTGGTATGTACTGTCCATCCGTCAGCGCCTCGTCTTCCCAAGAACAACGTGGTACGGACCGTTCAGTTGCAATGTCCCCAAAGGGCTCATCCAGATGTACCGAGCAATATTGTTTTCCATGAAATGAGACCCATAGATCACATGCTTCTGTTTGCTTTGCCGACAAGGAAGGCTCTACTGAAGTATTGTAGAACTGGTAGTGTGCCTCGATGCGTGGCGCGGCCGACCGAACTGAAAGTGCAAACTCGAAGGAGGCAAGGGCTTCTGGCTGAGTAATGTGGCCATCGGCATACAGAAGGTCGACAAAGGCTGTATATAGCTCCTGGTCGGTGGTCTTGTCGTCGAAGTAGCCCTCAGCAACTCGGTCAAGAATGGGGTAGTATGCGGTCGCGTTCTCCTCAGCTGCAGTTTCTCTGTAGGTAGTTAGGTTGTGTATGCAATATCACTTTGGGAGCTACTTACAGTAGCTCAACCAGATATGGTGCAGGATTGAAGGCAGCCCGCAAGGCGACGTTGATACTGGGACTGGCCAATGTGCCCATGTGCCGGAATGCAGTCAGCACAAATAGTGCTTTTGCACCCAGGACAGAGGCCGAAGCTCTCATACTGCCGGGCTTTATCCAATCGCTATAGCAATTTGTAGTAGTGTGTGATGTAACCAGGCTGGGTTTGGTGTTTGTGTCGAAAGGTCAACTCTCGATGTTAAGAAGATGCAACGTGTAGCATAACTTGGCTGACGAAACGCGCACGCAAAAACAGAGTGTGGTGTGATGCACAGTGCTGGGTGTGGTTTGGTAAGTCCAGCGTACCTTTTGTCTTCAGAAAGAGACAGCGGCTCTCCTTGAGCAGGGACTTGACAGCTCAATGTCTTGACGACGTATCTTGGATTGACGGGCGCGACAGCATTTGGTACGGCGGGCGGTTGTTACCCAAAGCGATGCGGCTGCCTTATCTTATCGGGCCCTGCCTCGGAATGGTTCCGACGGAAGGCTACGCGCTCAGTCACGTGACACACTACACTGCCACCGCTTCAGCTGGTACGCCATATGCTCCAAGCTTTGGCAGCGCAACAATGCAATACAACTCTCTTCGGGGGCGGCGATAATTCATAAGCCGCTGAAGGGTAACCAGTACAACGGCTATAGAGAGGCTAATTATAGAAGTTTTTTCTCGTCTACGTCGAGAGTCATGGAAAGTCGTTGAGTTGTTTGGTACTCTCCAAATCTTAGGTCAGCCTGGTAGAGATTCCAGAAGGCTATTTGTCGGTCCTTTTCTTGCCTTGTGCACGATGACATTGAACGAAAGGTTTATGGCGTGAAGGGTACAAAAATAGTTGTGAGTAAGCATCCGTGCCACAGACTATCTTTTGGAAGAACGCATTCCGGCAGGCAAATGATTGGTGTGCAGCTGTGTCATTTGTACCAATTCCATGTGTTTCTCAACGAACTACTTTTGATGGACTTTTAGATGGTAGTACCGAGTCTTGCTATGTGTATGTCAACCAAACAGGCTAGGGGCATGCTTACTTTATCCACTTACATCCATCCCAGCATAGTATAGCAGTGGAAAAGCAGCAACATCCACAGATGACGACTCGCCAACGGTATGCTTACGTATCCACACACACATAAGACCGAGCTGAAAACATGACATGCATGGTGGCCCTGCCAAGATGTTGCGCCAGGCCGGATGCTAAGGGCATAGTGGGGGATAAGCGTGCGCGTCTGGCTGGGCCCTAACGGTGGACAGACAGGGCGGGCGTGCGGGTGGGCCAGTGACGACGCCAAACACGATACGTATACGACGGCCTGCTCCACCACCACCCACCCCGGCCACGCTGACGACGGCGTCTGTCTCCGCCCGTGTTTTGCATGCTTCATCTGTCTGCCCACGCCCATCCACTCTCCAATGCCGTGAATCCACCTGCCCCATCCCTCTCCGCCAACTCCGCCATCTCCGCCATCATGCTCAGCGGCCCGCCTAGGATCATTCCCTTTGTCTTTGTCTTTCTCGCCCTCACCTTGGTGTGGTGGTACCTGCATGCTGTCCCTGGTGCAGGCCCGTCATTGGCAACATGGAAGCCCCAGACCTCACCATCGGGCAACCGTCCCTCGCTGCGCGGCGACCCTCTCGACTTTGGCCTGCCCCTGCGCTTCTCCGACCCTGTGCGCAAGCCCCCGGGAAGCAACTACACGTACAAGATTGTCGTCCCCAAGACCCAGAAGGAGGACATTAGCTGGATGGAAACCGAGATTCCCGATGCGCCTCTCGTAGTCTACGAAGTCGACAATCCAGATGCCGAGCACAAGATCCCCAAGAACAAGGGCCGCGAGGCCATGGTATGATCCCTTTTTTTTTACACGTGTGTTCCTATTGCGCGTACATGCAGGCTGACACGCGCGCTCCAGGTGTACCTCTCCTACATCATCGACCATTACAATGACCTTCCCGACACCGTCATCTTCATGCACGCCCATCGCCACGCATGGCACAACAACATGCTCCTCGGTCTCGACTCCGCCCAAATGATCAAGCGCCTCAACCATGACCGCGTCGCCCGCATGGGCTACATGAACGTTCGCTGCCACCACGAACCCGGCTGTCCCGACTGGATACACATGGACCGTCCCGGCGGCGACTTTGACTTCTTCCACAAACCCGAGGAAATCTATTGGCGAAAGGAGGTTTGGGAGGAGATCCACCCCGGCGCGCCCATCCCCCCCTCCATCTCGGGAATCTGCTGCGCCCAATTCGCCGTTTCGCGCCAGCGCATCCAAGAAGTGCCCATTGAGCGCTTCATTCACTACCGTAAATGGCTCCTAACTACAGGCATGGACGATCAGTTTTCCGGCCGCATCTTCGAATACATCTGGCACTACATCTTCACCGGCCACGAAGTACATTGTCCAGCCATGAACACATGCTACTGCGACGGCTACGGCTACTGCTTTGGTGGCCTGGCTAAATTCAACGAATACTTCAAGAAACAAGATGCGCGCAACGAAAAGTTCACCGAATACGACGGCTACCAGAAGAAGGAAAAGGAGGCAGAGAAGGATGGCAAAGATTCTCCCCTCACTGAAGACGAGAAGAAGAGGTTTGGCGAGCTCAGAGCCCAGCTTTTGGTTATGGACCGCGAACTCGACGAGCTGAGAGATGCGGCGAAGAAGAGGGGCGACGACCCTAAAGCTAGAAAGGAAGAGACTGAGTCGTACGATTCGAGCCACATTTGGGACTATGCCCCGCATGACAACTGAATGAGCATTTGATGATTATGCGTGCTTGCGGCATGCAGGGCGAACCAAAAATAATAGGCGTTTCGATGGCGTTTTCTTGCGAGATTAATGGCACCACATACGGGTTTTTTTGCTACCCTGAACCGGACATGGATTGAGCATGGGGCATACATGACGTTACCTAGATACCTCACATACATATACATATTTGTTTCCTTGTATGACAGATCTCAAATCTGTACATCTTTCTCTCACTTCTTCTCGTCCTGTGCACGTGCTTGTCAGTTTCCTTGTGGTGAAGGTACGCTAATCCTGCCTACGGCTTTATGATTGGTATCACACACGCTCATCACATGCTTGTCCTGGCAAATACTAATCTTCCTGCTCCATCACTACGCGCAAATATTACACTCTCGCTGGTAAAGTACAAAGAAGATACTGCAAGACACAGTCATGGTTCCTTCACTTCCACCTTCCGGACTGAGTGGCCAATGCACCTCCCACTTTCTACCAATTACTTCCAAGCAAACACTTCCTTTCTTCCACAACTTCTTGCTACCCGAACCGTTTCACAACCAGTTGTGTAGTTGCACTCAGTCCTAGGACAAGCTGTTTACCAACCTGTTTGTTCGTTGGTATTTGACCCGGTTGGCGCACTGCTTGCTGTTTGTTTACTATTGGCGTCGCTTGCTCTATCCATTTCACTCTCACCTTTGCTTTCGTTTCCGTCCCCGGCCTTACTTCCACTTTCACTTTTGCCTTCTCCGTCTCTCCCACCTTCTACCCCGTTCAGGGAGATGCTACCTTGCTTATCACCTTCGTTTCCAGATACTTTAGAGCGGTCGTCACAGAATCTTTCTTACGCTCTACTGTACAACACACGCAACGCTTTGTTTTGCGTGTGCCTTGCGCAAGCAGCGACATTCAATAAGTTTCCACACCGAAACCGGAAGCTAACATGTCAACCTCGAGCGATTTCGCTCAATCCCAAGCTACTGACTGGTCGCCACCAGTACCCGCGACAGCAGAACTAGACGCTATCCATGACATCAAGGTAAGAAGAATCACTACGCAATCTTTCAGCACACTGACTCTGACAAGATTGAATGGAAACGACGCATACGAACTACAAACGATGGGCACAAATCTGGAAAGCAACGCCTAGTCGCTGACTTACATGACTTCGAAATATATCGTTCTCCGGATTACGAAAAAAGAGCATACGAGCTAGCCAGCTTGCACTTTCTTGGGCTTCCATTGAACAAGAAACTCTGCTTCGATGGCTTTGTGCGCCTAGGAAATGTCGAGCACTATGTAAAGGGTGTACCATTCCAGCAGTGCTCTATCAAAGACTACACGGACAAACAAAATCCAGAGGTCACGTCCTATATCCAGTCTGAAATGGCGGCCAATGACAATGAATACGATATCTGGTATCAGCTCACTGAACCTACACCACAATATCGGCGCCTCCAGGATGCCTTCCTCTGGATAGCCCAGCTTGGAAAGCATGTTCTTAATTACATGGAAGGCTCTTTGCGCTCGTTAGGCTGCTTCCGTACAGACTTCCACACCTTCCTGAAGCATTGTTTTAGCGACAATCGCGATTTTGAAAACTGGCATGCGGCTTTTCGAAATCAAACGGACTTCCGAGTTGCTGTTGTGACATACACCGAGTACCTGTACAAGGAAGCCTCTCATCAGCCAAATTCCGATCGGTTTGTCAGGCAGCCATTATGGGTTGAGTGCATGGCGAAAGCTGTCACGCCTAATATACCACGAAAGACAGACCCTCAGCAGACAGTTGCGACACCAGCTGTTCATGCTTGTTTTCAAGATATGTACTTCGGGAAGAAAATCCGACCGCAAGCTCCTTCCAAGCACGTCCTTGACAAGCACGAATACAGGAAAAGAAAACTTGGGTTTTTGACGACATCGTCAGCGTCACTTCCCTATGCCGAGTTGTCTAAAGGCTGCCGGCCATATGGAGCATCGCCGGTTATGGTTGGAGATGTGGTTGCTGTAGTCCCAGATGAGGCAGACGTTAAACTGTGGAAACATACGAAGCGAGATTGGCTGGCATATGTCCAACGCACTGAAACTCTCGAAAACGGTGTTCAGCAACTGTTTGTCGTGTGGCTGTATTGGCCTCATGATACAAATATTGCCAAAGCCTACTATCCATTGCAAAACGAAGTGTTTCTATCGGACAATTGCAATTGCACAGAAAGAGCGCTGCTATCCACTGAAGTCAAGGGAAAATACGACGTCGAATGGTGCCCTTCAGTTATCAATACGAAGCGTCTTTTCGTCAGGCAAAAGTACATCCACAACGGGAGCTCATTTGTGAGTATGAAGGACAATGACAAGATTTGCTCTTGTCACAAGGAAACTCGTACAAATGTCGCTACTATGTACAGGTCTGGCGACACTGTTTATCTAACACCACCACCAGATCAGCGGTTACTAGAGCCAGTCATTATCCAATATATTGACGAAAAGAAGGGGTCGGTGACTGTGCGGAAGCTGTTACGACTCGGGCGTGATTGCGCTGAGCTGGGCAAGGATCTGCAACGATCAAGTATCGCTCCAAATGAATTGGTACTCACGGATGAATATTTCGAGACGAAAACTAGTCAGATACAGCGTCACTGTTCCATACGATTCGTCTTAAGATCAGACATCACGGCTAACACGGTGCCCTTCCCTTACAACCGGCAAGGGGCGGGCGACCTATGGTTCATCTCAATGGGATTGAGTGTCAACAAGGATGGACAGAAGAGGCTCTCATATCTTCGGCGCTTGCCATGGAATATGCACGAACGCACAAAGATGGGTTTAGACAACAAACTTAGAGGCCTCAGCATTTTCAGTGGTGGTGGGTTGCTAGACAGAGGTCTCGAAGAAGGTGGCGCTATAGAATTTCGTACCATTGTTGACTCCAGTCAACATGCTATCCGGACGCAACAGGCGAACATCAAGAATTCTTCAACAGTTTGTCTCTACTGTGGCTCAGTAAACACTTTTCTCGATTCAGCGCTCAAGGGCGACACAAGCTTTATTGCTAGAGTTGGTGATGTAGACTTTATTGCTGCAGGATGTCCTTGCGTCGGTATGTATACTTAGTAGTTCCACTACTTAATAATTGGTTAGCTTGGTACTTTGCTAATAGTTCTCACAGCGTTCTCTGGACTTCAGCAAAGCCCCTTTAGCCCGAACTCACTGCTCAACGCATCTCTCGTTAGTACATTCTGCTCTTTTGTGGATCTTTACCGACCATTGTACGGCGTTTTGGAGAACGTGCTGAACATTTCATCAGAGCGGGCCGGTTCAGAACGGGCTGGTTCAGCGCTATCGCAGGTGGTGGCTTGCCTGGTATCATTTGGCTATCAAGTGAACCAGTATATTATGGACTCCTGGAATTATGGCAGCCCACAGAGACGCTCGCGCGCAATACTCACCATAGCAGCTCCCGGTCTTCAGCTAATTATGCAGCCTTATCACACCCACAGCCGATCCGACGAGGAAGTCCGCGGAAGAAGCCTAGGCCAACTACCCAACGGAGAATTCTGTGCTGAGCGTCAGTATTACCCAACGCCTTTTTATCATGTCCCTGCGCAGACTGTTAGTTCCGGGTTGCCCGATATTGGATATGGCGCCGGACAAACATGTATAGCATATCCGGACCACCGAGTCCCTAATGTACCGACTAGGAAAGATAGACCTCTTTTGGATTGTATACCAAAACAACCCCCCGGCTGTGGGTACAAAGAGGCCGAAGAGCTTGGGCGTGTTCCGCCCCATTTACGCAGAACAAGAGAGATTGGCAAATCCTACCAAAGGATAAAAAAAGCTGGTTTAGTGCCCACAATTACAACAAGTGCGTGCATTTCTGACGCCAGGAATGGTGCTGTTATGCATTGGGAAGAAAGCCGATCTCTCAGTCTCCAGGAGGCTCGCCGCACGCAGGGTATAGATGATACTGAGCCGATCATTGGAACAATTAAAGACCAGTGGAGAATTGCCGGTAATGGCGTGGATCGCAAGGTGGGTCTTGCTATCGGGTTAGGGTTGCTTCGAGCCGTCGAAAGCAACGACCTAGAGTTTACATCGACCGGGACTGCCGAAACATTCCTGACTTCAGTTGAGGATGCAGATGACTCCTTGGACCAGAGCTCTCCCAAGCATGACGATGGCTTTTCTCATCTAGAACATATACTCAGCAGTGCTGTGAGTAGGCTTTCTCTAACCCCAGTGGATTGTAAAGCAAAGTCTATACTACAGCCAGCTCAAGTTAAACGCACAAGCGAAGACAACTTGGACTCTAGCAAGCGGCCAAAGAAACAGGCACGAACAAGCAAGGCGCAAGATACTGCTGCCAATGTTGAAAATAGGGCGACATCCATTGATCCGGGTAGGGGTAGCAGACAGAACTCGACAGCTTCAACGGGCTCGACCAGCTCGACAGGCTCGACAAAGGCAAGATGCACACGGCACTCGGGATTACCGGTTGAGTTTGCCCCGAAGAACTGGAGTAAGAGGGTGGAACCAAAGCGTCGTGACCGGATCTGATTGATGATGATTGCGGTGAAGGAAAAGGCAGGAGATGGGGAGTTTATTCATGGATCTTATTGACAAGTCAATCTACCGTACAGTTTACACACGGCACCACATGTACATATACCATTCCGTATGATTCATATCCACACTTTACCTACACAGAAATCCAAAAAAAAGCAATCAACTCCACCATATCAAGCGTGTCACTTTCCACATCCTACCCAGCTTATTTCCACTCCACACCCCACGTCTGCTCTCCCCTCCTAAACGGCACAACCTCCACACTTCCCCCTTGATTCTTCAAAACATCCACAATCCTCTCTCCTCCCCTCCTCAACACAACCCTCTCCCCGCGGCTATCCCCAACCTGATAAAACGCCCTCCCCCACGCCCCAAAAAACCCCTCCAACCCCTCCTGCGTCACCTCTTCCTTGCTGATGACCCCCCTCTCCACCCCCTTCTCAAGTGCATCAAGCACATACCCCAGCGCATGCGGCTGCGTAAAAACGCCGGCTGCAACTTTATCCTCGCCCCTCTTCTTGACCCGTGGATGCGGTGCGGAATCCGTTCCTAGGAAAAACCTACCCTTGCTAGTCACCACAGCACGGATCAACGCATCCCTATCTTCCGGCGTTTTAGCGACAGGCTTGCAGAAACAGAATGGGTCGCCGGCCCAGTCGTCGATGATGAGGGAGAGGTGGTGCGCGGTTATTGTGCCTGCGACGGAGGGGCCGCAGGAGAGGACGGTGGAGAGGGCGGCGGCGGTGCTGCAGTGTTCGAGGATTATGCGGAGGGAGGGGAAGTGTTGGTGGAGGGAGAGGAGAGTGGGGAGGAAGGCGGGTTCGGCGTTGAGAATTGTGATTGCGTCCTTTTTTTCGTTTGAGAGGGGGGCGTGAGAGGGGGTTGAAGGGACTTCGCCGTGGAGGTTTAGGACCATGTTTTGTTTTTCCATTTCGGCGAAGACGGGGTAGAAGGTCTCGTAGTCTAGGACGCCGGAGGAGGAGTTCTGGGATATTGGTTAGTCTTGTTTCGTTTTTTTTCCTTGGGGGGTTTTTTTTCGTATGGATGTTGTGTGGGCTTGACTTACCGTAGTGACACCAGCAGGGTACGATTTCACGCCCGTGATTCCGGCTTTTTTGGCTTCGCGAATGACCTCGGGTGTGATGTCTTCGTGCAAGTAGAGAGACATCAGGTACTCGACATTTGGCTCAATGGCCTTTAGTCGATCGCGGTACTCGAGACATTGCTTCACTGTAGTAATGGGTGGAACAAGGTTTGGCTGTATGATGAGTCAATATCAGAACAAGAACAGCAGAATTTTGTTCAAATCATGTGTAGCAAGAGCAAAGTAAACGGTATAAACTTGAAGTAAGAAAGAAGATACACGTGATATTTGAAAAAGACTGATGACTAAGAAGTAGGAGAGGAGGAAAGCCAAGATACTGTATGACATAAAAGAGCAAACAGGAATTAGAGAAGAGATGGAATCCATTTGGAATCATAGTCGTAAAATATTAGAACACACAAAAACATACCATGACATAGACGGTATTCACACCACCCTTACGAATAGTCGGCGTAACCAACTGCGACATTTCTCCATCGCGCAAGTGCACATGGGCGTCAAACGCCGCAGGCAGCTCAATTTTCTGTATGGTTGTGATATCCATATTTCCCAACTTCGTTGTAACGTTACACAATTGGCGTTAGTATGTCGTTGTTGTGGGGGGTTTGACTACGAGGAACAATTTTGAAATGGGCCCCAAATGCGGGGGGTACGCTAAGCCAAATGGGGCAGAGCACCACAACGGTAGAGATAGGTGCAATGCAATCGCAAAAGTAAAATAAACAGTCTCTATTTGTAGAATGAGTCATTCTCGCTAATCTATTAAGCGATTATAGGCTAGAGCCACCTGGCCCAAAAACATGGCATACATAACCGTTATTACATTCCGTCCATCACTAATTCTCCTAAACACCTTTCGCCATAGGGTATATTATATCCTCCTTACATGCACTTGCGTATCAACTGTCTTGCTCATACAACACCATCCCAGCCTCCTCAGCCTGAATGCATCACGGGCGCGTTCAGCATTCCAGCTGATGCTTCATTCTCCAGCGATATCTTCATTTCGAGCCATGAGTAAAAGTTTGGCGAATTGCAAAATGTCTCATACATGCCGTCTCTTGCGCGATGCCTTTGTAGTGGATTTGATCCGCGAAATTTGACGCTGGTTCCGTGTTTGCTAACGCTGCTCAAAAACTCTCGTACCTGGAAGCTGGCATACCTACCGTTGCCTCCTGGTGTTACGACGTGGGACGTTGCGAGATAGCGATTGATAGGCGCGATGAACTGAGCAGTGAGCTCGGCAAAGTGGCGGCGTATAATGGGTCCGAGGTCTTGCGTCTGATCTCCAAGTTTCAGTAGGGCGTCGATTTGCGATACTACAGTTGGGTCTGATTTGAGAAAGCGTTTCGGGGGAGTGTGGACTTCGATACCACCACCCGGGAGATCGAGAAGTGCGTTACGGCTTGACTTGTGATGTAACGAATGGTGGCGACGCATGGGTACAGGTCCATCAAAGTTTTGCAGGTACAATATGTGCGGGCGGGCTTGGTGACTGGCCTCAACAGCAGCGATGATGCGCTTCAGTAGAAAAGGATTGGTGACACCAGCGATGAATGCCGTTGGGGTACCACCATCGATACCAATACTCTTGAAGTTTGCTTGCATAGTCATATACGGCCGAACCACACCGGCATAGGGGACCGGGCAGATGAGGTCAATAAGCGAAGACACAGCCTCACTCGCTAGTTGTGGAGACTTTGCGATGACGATGACGCTTTCACACAGGATTAGTTTCTCGTAAAGCACATATAGGTCGGTGATGCACGGCATGTAGTGCATGATGGTGTCCCAGGATCCAATCGGTTCATAGGCATAGATGGATTGAGCAGTGTCGGATATCAGAGGGTTGGGACCTGGAAGGCCTTGCAGAGGAAAAGCGCGATGTGGTGCAATGTCCAGTCTCAACATACTGCCCAAGAAAGGTAGGTCATGGTGGCCAAGGGCTGGGGGCATCCAATTATTCATTTGCCGGTACGCCGCTTCCAGAGTGGTTGGGTCACTGAGATGGCCTGATTCCGTCATCTTTTGTAAGATGCGATGATTCAAGGCGGTAAAGTTGTGATGGGAAATCAAGACTAGGGCTCTTTGGTTGAAGCTCCTCTTCATGGTATCGTCAAACTCTTGGCGGAAGATACATGATGCATAGAAGGTGACTGCGCTGCCATGGGGTGCGTTGGGCGAGGTGAGCTGGATGTCAGGCGAATTGTTGGTAATGGCAAAGTCGTAGCAAAGATCCTCGGCAGTCTCTGTGTTTTGTTGCTCTGGGAAGCTGCAGACGTCTTAGACGGGGCAGGTGTGAGCTAGACGAGGAAACGGTACCTGTTGAAGCAAATTGCGCTCAAGTCGCTCGTGGAGAAGGGGATGTGAGGCGGGTAGAGAATCTCGATTTCCGGACTGCCTCAAGTTTCAACATGATGTCGCGAGATTTGGACTGTTGGCTCCTGCCTACCCTATGTCAACATTGAAGTTGCAGACGATGCTGGGGCGGTTAGTCTTGGCTTTGCGTCGCGCAGGTGGTGGTGACTTACAAAGCCACGGCCCAATGCTTGAAGCCCCCCGTTGCAATGGGAGACAGCTTGGGCTCTCGCAGCTTGTCCATGTCGTCTTGTCGTCGATCCCGACGATGGGGGGACAGCAGCTTGTTCTTCAACCTGTGCATCGGGCAGCCTGACGCACCTGACCGGCGCAGGTGAACGCAGCAAGAGTAATGGGTGTGAGGCAGTGGGCAGATGGCGTTGGTCAAAGCGAGAGAAGCTGATGCGCGTCCAATAGGCTAGCAGCTTTAGCGGCAGACGAGGCCGAGGAGCGTCATGGCTATCATTGCGGGGGGTGGGAAGAAGCAAAGGGTCGCGGTGCTGACATGATGGCACTAGAGGGCAGCCATGGCATATCAAGAGAGCCGCTGGCCGGGAGGAGGGTGTGGGCGTGTGAAAGTATCGCGGGAGTCAATGAGCGGGCGCAGGGGTGCGGGCGCTTGTGTACGATGACGTGGGGCGCCCCCGACTCGCGTGTGGCTAGCATCGTCTTGTCTTGTCTTCGTGAGGAAACACCAAGCCGCGGCGGGAGGGTGAATGCTCCTCTACCTGCACGCACCCTAATCCACGCCACCCCGCCGCCTCTCCTAGGGATACGCAGCATGCGAGGCTCGGGCAGCTGCGCCATGTAGACAAGACTCTTGTCCTGCACCCGAGACAAGCCCTCACCATGGACGCCAACATCACAAAAGCCCTCAACGACAAGCTCTACGATAGGCGCAAGAGCGGGGCACTCGAACTCGAAGGCCTCATCCGTGATGCCCTCGCCGCCCAGGACCATGACAGGATAGCAAAGATCGTCCATCAGCTGTGCCATGAGTATGCCTATGCCGTCCACCAGCCCCACGCTCGCAATGGTGGTCTCATAGGACTGGCCGCTGCCTCGATAGCCTTGGGGCCCGAAGTCGCCCGCTACCTCGAGGAAATCGTGCCCCCGGTGCTTGCCTGCTTTAGCGATCAAGATGCCCGTGTACGGTACTACGCGTGCGAGAGCATGTACAACATTGCAAAAGTCGCAAAGGGCGAGATACTCGTCTACTTTAACCAAGTCTTTGATGCTCTCTGCAAGGTATGCCTCCACCCCCCTCACATCTTAAGATTGGACTAATACAGTTGTGTCTAGATGGCCGCAGACTCAGAGCTGTCTGTCAAAAATGGCGCAGAGCTCCTGGACCGCTTGATCAAAGACATTGTCTCAGAATCCGCTGCCAGCTATGTCTCCGTGCTGCAGACTACGCCCGAGCAGCATGACGGCGAGGACGAGCCATATCCATACGCATTCAGCCTTGAACGCTTCTTGCCGCTCCTCGAAGAGCGCATAAACGTCATCAACCCCTTCACCCGCTCCTTCCTAGTTGCATGGATAACACTGCTCGATTCCATACCCGACCTCGAGCTGATTGCTCACCTGCCACGCTTCCTTGGTGGTCTTTTCAAGTTCTTAAGCGACTCCAACCAGGATGTATACACTATGACGCAGGCGGCGCTGGACAGGCTCCTGAACGAGATCAAGAAAATTGCCAGAATCAAAAAGGGCATAGAGGAAAGCAAGAAGAGCAACAGCAAGGACGAGCGCAGGAACTCTGCCGATAGTATCCGCAGCGGAAGCGATGCGTCTGACTTTACGCCCCTCGACCCGCATGATTCGATTGACGACAAGGGCGATGCCAGTGGAGAAAGTGGCTCTGTTTCTGGCGAGAGCGAAAAGTCTGTACACGGCGATGGCAACTGGATACCAGGCCAGGATGTGCACGTCGACCACCCCAAAATTCTTGGGATACTCGTTGACTTTCTAGCTCCACCGCCTGGTAGGATTTGTGTCTGAAAGGAGAAGCTGAACTATGCTAACATGATTGCAGATACAGAAGAGGAGCAGACCGAGATATTACTGACAGCCCTGCGCTGGATCGACAACTTCTTTGACATTTGTCCAGAAGATATCATGCCGTTTGTCCCGAGCCTTCTGTCGCACGTGTTGCCCCGCATGTCCCATGAGGTTGATACCGTTCGCAAAGCAGCAGTTAAGGTCAATGCTTCGCTTATGGATTACATCTTATCCTTATCTGATGACAATCGTCCACGAGATGGCGGCGCAAGTGGACAGATCCAGTTGCCACCTTCCCTCTCTGAGCTCGGGAAGGAGCTTACTGGTGCACAGCGGCGAGACTCTAATCTCTCTGGCCGTTTGCTCAAGGCGGTTATCCGTGACCAGGCAAACAAGGCTGAGTCACCTGACGGCAGGTCCCCTACGCCCGCAGAGGACAGTGGTTCGTCTCCTCGCCCAATACCAGAGTTGGATTACCAAGCTGCAGTCAGTGCCTTAACACTGCAATTTTTGAATGAACATGAAGCTACTCGTGTTGCCGCTATCGCGTGGCTAATTATGCTACACAGGATGGCACCCGGTAGAGTGAGTAGACATGCAGTACGACCTACACAGCACTAATCCGTATGCAGATACTAACAGTGGACGACGGAACCTTTCCAGCACTGCTTAAGACACTATCTGACCCTTCCGATGCGGTCGTTACGCGCGACTTGCTACTCCTCTCTCAGATATCTCTGCACAGCGATGATACATACTTCACCTCGTTTATGGTCAACCTGCTGAAGTTGTTCTGTACCGACCGCAGGCTGCTCGAGACGCGCGGTAACTTGATTATTAGACAGCTATGCCTCACCCTGAGTGCTGAACGGATCTATCGTACCATGGCCGATTGCCTAGCGAAAGATGAAGATGTCGAGTTTGCAAGCATCATGGTACAAAACCTCAACAACAACCTCATCACTGCGCCAGAGCTTGCAGACCTGCGGAGGCGACTGAGGAACCTTGACAGCAAGGACGGCCAATCCTTTTTCGTCACTCTTTTCAAGGCTTGGTGTCACAACGCCGTGGCTACTTTCTCACTGTGTCTCCTCGCTCAAGCCTACGAACAGGCATACCATTTACTACAAGTCTTGTAGGTGATTCACTCGCATTCGTACAGATACAGAGACTGACTCTTAT